TATCTATCTATCTATCTATCTATCTATCTATCTATCTATCTATCTATCTATCTATACTTTTCTGGAAGTGGGAGGGGAGGGGGAGAGGGAGACAGACCAGACACATCAACATAAGAAATTAAATGGAAGGGGGATAAACGCAATAGAGTGCATCATCAGGGAGGGGGAGAGGGAGACAGACCAGACACATCAACATAAGAAATTAAATGGAAGGGGGATAAACGCAATAGAGTGCATCATCAGCATCACCAATTGTGTCTCCCGACTGTTATACAAATCGTAATTGTGTGTGTGTGTATCATCATCATCATCATTTGTGTTTCCCGACTGTTATACGAATCGTAATCGTGTATAGATACCACAATGCACTGGGTGGCTTCAAGATTATTTATGTGCTCTGAGAAAGGTGAAAAAGTACGAACAAGGCGCGGCCCATGCACCCGTCCTGTGTTCTCTCTACACCACTATGACGCAGAAAAGGAGTGAAATTTTTAGCAGAGCGCGCACAATGTTTCTAATAAACCATTCAGAGTCGGTGGGAAGTTTATTGTTGTGAGCAGCTGATGTGCTGTCACTCACCGACTGCAAAAGCTTTTGTGAGCAACAGGTTGAGAAAATGCGAAAAGAATTAGATCTAGACAGATGCGTGCGTGCAAGAAAAGTTAAAGTTTCCACAAGGAGGAGGAGTTGCTTAAGTTAAAAAATACGGTAGATTGCTAGAAAAAGCTCCGGATGTGTGGAAGAAATGTGACGACGCTCCCAGTTCTGCGTCTTTGATGATACAATTTCTTTTTCTTCTTCTGGGGATCAGGTCAGGTCAGGTTAGGCTAAGCCAGATAAGGATCAAGGGAAGACAACTGCGTGGAAGATCAAAAGTTAAAGGTCAGCTGAGTACAGTGCAAGCAGTGTTCATAATATATGTGAGGCACAGTGGTTACCTCAAGCGCTCACCCAAATAATGAAATCGAAGAAACTGACATTTTTCTGTCCGTTTGTCAATTTTTATCGAATTTTCGCTTTTTGACTCAACACCTTTAGGGTCCATTTTAAAACACATTTCAGTGTGGAATTTACTGAAAAAAATGTTGATTTAAGACACAAAAATGTACATTTGCAGTTTCTTAGGAATCTCAACCTGTGGAATTCGCCCAACTTTCTCGCTAATTTTACCTCTGAAACCAAGCGACCCTCACCTTCTTCAATCTCAAATATCTCGACGTCATTCTATGATATATTAATATTTTTTTCACAGAAAGCAAGACACACGAACAACTTTTCAAATGATACCAATAACTCCACAAGTC